CAACAAGGGTATTACACACACACACATGAGCTGGCATTGTATATATAAATGTCTTAGCACTATATGTGTGTGTATATGTACATATATTAGTAAATAATTTAGAACCAACTTTATACACTGTCTCCCAGAAAAAGGAAGAATAGGAAATACTGTTCAATTCCTTGAATAAAACTAGCAAACAAGGCTTCTTTCATTCTCAAATATTCACTTATGAAAAAAATGGACTTCATAAGTTCATTTTTGTTGTTTTTACAATATGCCCAAGAGATTGAAGAGCCTAGAAAAATAAGCCAAATTGATTTTTACTGACAAATCAAAAAGACATTTGAAGTCGAAGACGTGATCTAAGATGAATTCTTATTCTTTTTTTTTTAACCCCTTTTCCAATGTGTGATTTAAGTACAAATGTCTTGGCATTTTCTGCCATTTGTTATTCTGGACCATCTTTGCCAAACAACAAGGAGCCCAAGCTGGATCGAAAGGCAGAATTTCAGATATGTTCTGGTATTAAGCCAATTTGTTCACCTGAATAATGGGTTAAACGTTATTTGCCTCTGGAACATGAAATTGCTGGTTTTGTTCCAACATGATGGTTTCTATATAATTACATATGCCAGCAAATAAAGACAAAACCAGTAATCCTATTTATACTGTCATGATAAAGTGGTTAACATGCACTCATAAAAACAACCAAGCCTGAGGCTGATAAGGGTCTACTGTCAGAACTAAGCCTCTGAGTCAATAAGCCCTATGATGAAGGCTTCAGGAAATCTATGGGTCAGAGAAAAACCAACCAGAAATCAAAGCTATCGACATGTAAAACTATTGGTGTAATGTCCTTATGAAAACCATGCATGGGGGGTTTGTATGCAAATTTGTGTTACACACATGTTATCTGTGTAAAAATATAGTAAGCTCTTCATTTCAGTATTTGACTACTGAGAACATTTGTTCTCAGGTAAGAAACTTCTTGAGGATGATTTAAAAACAAAAACAACAACAGTCTAGTTAGCTATATTTCATAACTGCATCCCTGCCAATAACACAGCCTCATAAAGACAACTGTCCCCCACTGTTGTCTTGACCTGAGATATCAGATTTGCAGTAAACAATTTTTCTACTAGAAACATTCCTATATTAAGTTCTCTTATTTTCTTCTTAAAACACAAGCAAATACCTACAGAATCTAAGCATCACTGTATGAAATCTACCATTTTATTTCTCTCAAGTTACTAAAACTTAGCAGCTTTTATTTATTATCACATGTTTCTTATTTATTATCACAAATAGGCTTCTTTTGTTACATGGTTGGCATCCAAGGATAGGTTAAAAAACACATTATTAGAACAAAGAACACATGCCTTTCCCCTGTGACTCGGTATAATTCCAGGGTCTTATCTAATCAATTGCAAAATAGTTCGATCACGTCATAAAAATGCCCTGTGCACAGGTTTCCAGCCCAGGGAAGATGCAGAGATCTTAATTCTGCCAGGAACAGAGTAGGAGGAGGCGCTTCTCCTGGTAATTAAGTAAAGATCTCGAATGCCGCCAAGATGCAAATGGGGCTTAAAACCTCATTTGGTTTTAACTCCATAATTTTGCCCCCACTGCAATGTTTACTCGTGATAGCTGTATCAGGCTGAGTCCTTAGGAGGTGGG